GGTTTCTAACTGATTGATTAAAATTGCCCCTATTTAATTGGGAACAATTTGTTTTTAAACAGTAGTTATTTTTAATATAATAAAGTCGTTATAAAAGCTGTGCCACTTTAGAATAGGCATTGTCTCACCCCTTGGAAGGAACACTCTTCTAATAGCTCATGTGTTATGACACATTCATGCACCATCTAAAAAGCCATAGGTTTTCCCTTTTCAAAACAGCTTTTATATTCATCTGTGAAAACCCATAGTATTGATAACTAAGATTTGCTCAATCAGTTGACAACATGTGAAAAAGTATAGTGCAAAAAATAAAATGAATCAAGATTTTCCTCAAATAAGCATATTCATAAATAAAGACATCTTGTTTTGCTTCCGAACAATACTCTAGTCTAAATCGGATCTATGTCCAACAAAAATGACATGCCTTCCCAAAATTCTGGGAAGGCAAATCTAGTGGATTGCTGGATTTCTCAGTGCTTTAGGTTTCCGGCTGTGGAGTCAGAGGTTGGGAGTTTGATTCTGCACTGTGCTTCCCTGACAGGGACTGGACTTGATGATCCATGGTGTTGTTTCAAGCTCTGTAGTTCTAAGATTATTATTATGTGCCATCAAGTTAGAACCAACTTATAGCAACCTTAATAAGATTTTCAAAGTAAGTGAGATACTTGCATTGTTTTATCAGTTCTATCTACCCAGTGAGCTTCCATGGCCAGCACGGATTCAACTCAGTTCTTCTGAGTCCTAGTCTCTGAGTCCTAGTCTATCAGTCCACTATACCACACTGATTAAAATCCTATAGTATACTCATTTAAATGAATGGGACACATTAGACACTACTAGAGATGGGGATATTCATATGCAAATACAAATGCCTCCACATAGGTGGACATAATGTCCACTCACCCACCCGCTGCTGCCACTGGCTTCACGCTCCCTTCCAGTCATTCCAGAGCTCACACTCAACAAGCCGCTCCTGAAAGAAGGAGGGAAAACAATGCTCCCTGCCAGTGGCTAGTCATCCTTGAGTTCCGGAACGATTGTAAGGGAGCATGAATACGAATACCCCCATCTCTAGTCACTACTAACGTAAGTTCTAACAATTGCAGTGGGTCTCTTTCTAAATAGAAGTGATTCAAGATTTATCCCAGTATTCACACAAAAATTGAATCTTTATGTAATCTAGGCCAATTTTATATAGCATGGATGAGTTTTTAAACTGCATTTTTTTAAGTGTAAAATTTTGCAAAACAAAACGTTATTGTTAAGTGTTACAAGTACAGGCAAAGGTTTTTGAAGTGAAGCTTCCATGCCAACACATAACGCTATTTCTTAAATATTAAGCAAATGTAAATGCTGAACTTGAACAAGCTGTTGTATCACAAAATGATTAAACAGATGTGAAGCCTGCACAACATTAGACCTCTGATCTGGTTTTTACCTTACAGATGGGATTAAATTAATTCATGGCAATCCCTGTAAAATCAAGGGTATGGCCCTGAATGCTAGTGCTCTGTTTAGCCAGAAAGTACCTGTTCTAACAGCTGTTAAGAAAAATTACTTGCCTTAATTTTCATAGAAATCTACCTTTAATGACATCATAAATATTATTTTGAAATAAAAGGTTTGTTTTCTCTCTCTCTTTTTTTTAACTAGTACCTTGATTTGCCATATACAGACTTTATTGCCTTTTACTTTTATTGGCTTCATATTAAGTCTCTAAACTTTGCATACAAAAGGATTGTCTGCAGAAATTACCAGCATACACATTGGTAAAATTCTAAAGCTATATATTTTTAGTTTGCTTTGATTACCAGATATTGTACAAGTATTGTGTAGCTTTTGTTCTGCAAATTAAACTTCCTAGTCCAGCAAGTGTTTTCCTTTCACTTGTGTCATGGCAACAACTTGAGTGAGCATTTGGCAAATCAGGCACTATTTGTTCTTGTAGCAATCAAATTTTGCAGGTTCCAAATGGCAGAAGGGGCTGCACGCCAGTGGAACAGCTACAGGTTGTCAACAGACAAATTTAACTGCAGTCTCCCAGTGATTGTCAGCAAGTCTCTCTTGCTAAGAGATTTTTCTTTGTCTTTCAGAAATGTTTTATATGGCTGCATTTCTTCCAAGTGGCAACATTTGGTATTAGTAATCATTAGCATAACCAGAATGAATTCCCAAAAGTAGCACTGTCCTTTCTAGGGCAGCTAGAATTCTGATATAGACCATTAAAAGGTAATGCACTATTTTTATTGCAATGGTTTTATTTGTGTTTCAAGGCAGATAGCTCTTTTAATCAGTCAACAAATATAAACTTAACTTTGTGACGCTAACCTTTCAAGCAATAAGCAATAAGAAATTTTGCAGATGGGTGTTCCCATGTATCTAAGGTGGTGCAGAACTTCAGGAAATGATATCACATTAATTGCTGCCTCAAATAGAATGTTGTATTGAAGACAAACCAGGTGAAATATCTACAGTTCACTAAACCAATTCAAAACATCTTTGAGAAACTGATTCAGAGTTTTCCATAATCCATAAATTTTAATTTTATATAGTATACCTGTTTAAAAAATAAAGTATACATAGGTATGGTACAAATGTAATGCTCAGTCATCAAACCATAGTTGGTTGATTAGTTTCATGTACTTCCTCAATTCTCACCTTTCCTTTCACTTCCAAATTTGTAGATAACCATGCTTAGCATTGTGTCTGCAGCACACTGGTTTTGCAGACTTGCTTCTGACAGTGTTTTCAAACTGATTTTATGGCAAAACTTGTTGCCTCCAAAGCTGAAAAGGAAGAGGAGTTACCTTTATAAGAACAGAGGGAAGAAACTAAGATCACCTATCTGATCACCAGTCCATCATTTAGCAATGAGGCCAAAAGATGCCCTTCAGACAAACCAGATAAAATAGTATAATATTTAAAGTGGTGCAACACCTAAACAAATAGCCTACCAGAGTCTTAAAATAAATTTCACGTCTCCTGCCCCTCTGCTGAGAAGCAGAGTGAGTGTACAGTTCAGTGATATCCTGAAGTGGCCTACTTATTAAGCCACTTCATGATATTGAAAATTCTAGTCAGAAGGTGCCAAGATAGCTGGGAAGGCTCACTTTTTCATCTGTTCCCAGCTATCACACATGCTGAAAACAAACCAATATTGAGCAATCCCACCCACACCACAAAAATAGAAGCTTGTGACCGGAGCTCAGAAAGGTGCAGGTAGGACTGCTCTGGGGACAGCTTAGTGTGCTTCCGCGATTACATAATGTGATTGCCAGAAAAAAAGAGCAATTCAACCTGTCCCTCCAGCAGAACAAACAGCAGGATAAATGGCCTTCTATCAAGCCCTCAATCAGTATGATGAGAGCAACAGTAAGTAGTCTGGCCTTACAATTAACAAAGCTGCCTTTTGGGTTCTGTATTAATAGGTGCTGAGTGGAACAGAATGCTTGGATTTCAAACTCTGCTAATTATATCTTATGTTGAGGAGGAAAATTCATTATATTGTATATTAAAGTACTTAAGCATCTGTTAAAAACAAAACTGTTCCAATTACCTGTCAGTCACAGAAAATTATATACTTAGTATTGATGGGCTGGCATCAAGAATAGACGCACCATTTTATAAACTTGCATACTTCAAAGTACAAGGTGTTCAGCTCTATTTTCTGTATACATTGTTGCTTTCAGTGAACAGCAATTACAAGTCTTGCTTCTGCAAACCCTCGCTTTTCACTTTATGCAAGTACTGTTATATTTGTATCTGACTTTCAGTGACTACAGATCCACAACATCTTTGTCAGAGTAAGAGGGAAAGTTCTTGTCTGAGATGGATTCCTCACTGGTTTAGTTCCAGTCAAAAAAAAAAATGCTGCCTAAAAGTGAAGGAGAAAATGGCATACAAGACATATGCAAGCCACATATAGAAACCAACCAGATTGGCAATTGAATCTTATTTCAAAACTGGCAACAGGGTGGCATCCTCCATTGCAACTGAGGGAAGAAGTTGTCCAGTGTCTCAGCTTTACCCTCCAACGCCTTGCCACCATCCTCTGCCCCTCGTGTCTATGAAGCTGCCTTGCTATACCTAACAATAGGGCTGGCCCTGAAACTTCTTCCAGGTGATAAGAAGAATGTTACCAGATGATGGTATCAGGTGTAGCTGTGTGATGAAACATGTAATACAGTAGCCAGTGGTTTGGTCAGGGAGATCCAGCAGTTGCTTATTTTTTTTCCAGTGATTGTCTTACAAGTTCAAGTTATTGAATCTGTGAGAACCTTCAATACTGTACAGTATGTTGAAAGAGCTTCTCATCACTTAATTGGCCAGAAAGTTTTGGAAATGTGATTGCAGTGAAAAATGAGCAGAAAACAAAAGACAAGTAAGCCGAATGTGTATGTCACAGTTTCACTCAGCCCTATTGTGTGCTTAAATACTTCCTGGCATGTCATTCTGGCCACTAAATGTGAATTACAGGCCATTTTACAAATTCTGCAGTTTTGGGGTCCTGCATACCTCTGGCATGGCAAAATGTGAATTATTTGGTCAGCATAATCTAGGCTTCTTCCTATCAGCTACACACCATAGTTTAATATGATATATATACGGATAAGACTTTTTTAGTCAGGGTATGGTTTGCAGGATCTGAGAAGTATTTTCACATAGATAAACACTACTGAGGTTCTTGTTTTGATTTGTATGTTTTTAATACTCATTTGCTCACACGGGAATGTCAAAACAAATTTCTAGTCCATTGTAATGTGTGTTATGGTAAGCCGATACTCATTTCCCTTTAAAATAAGCGGGAAATTAGCCTGAAAGATCCTCAGATGTGCATGTAACCCTGAGGTCAGTGTGTGCAAAGACATGCCGTTCTAGCAACCTATTAGATAAATTAGGAGAATAAGAAGGTTTAAAGCTTAGTGTGAGATTATCCTGGTCTTCTGCATATGGCCATACTGATTAATGCTTTGTGTGTGTGTGTGTGTTTTAAATCTCAGGGTTCGTAGGCGAAAACGCTCAACCGATCTCAGACAGCAATATTGGCAATCGAATGCTCCAAAGTATGGGATGGACACCTGGCACTGGCCTCGGACCAGACGGCAAGGGGATAGCTGAACCCATTCGAGCAATCCAGCGGCCAAAAGGACTCGGGCTTGGATTCAGTTGACTGAAAGTCACTCCAGCTGCTGTCCAGACATCAAGACTACCAACCTTAACTTTGATATATCTGAAAACATTCTATTCAGCTGTTGTCTGATTACCCAGTGATTCTTTCTGTAGCTTTTGAGTACAGAAGTCTCATTGTTTTCTGTTGAAGCAGCAAGAGGCCAACCAGTTGGGCAGGCCTGATGTTTTAATCCCGAATCTGTAATGGTGCTAACATTTTAAATTGTACTTTTAAAACTAAATCTGTAGTCTTAACTAATTCTGTTGTCAAAGATCCCAAGAATTGGCTGGACACACTCTTTCTGTCCCCTTCATGGTGGGCTTTCCAACATGCATGTGCACCTGAATCAATGGTTCTTAACCTTGGATTACTCTGGTGTTTTTGAACTGCAACTCCCAGAAACCCCAGCCAGCACAGCTGGTGGTGAAGGCTTCTTCTGGGACTTGAAGTCCAAAAACACTTGAGTAACCCCAGGTTAAGAACCACTGACCTAAATTATCTTTTTTGACAGATCATTTATACAAAAAGCAATGTTGCTTCTTTTACTTATTGTGGAAAATTCATAAAACTGCTGTGTTAATCAAGTAGGATAATTATGAAGTCATCTAGCAGGTGTTTTGTTGCAAATCTCCCATCCATTTCAGAAGGTCTGTGTAGACTCCGTACCAAACAACATGGATACAGCTACTTAAGGAAGAAGGTATAATGTTGGCAAAGTAGGACCAACACCACTTTAAAAAGTTCAAAGCTCTCTCTCTCTATGACAGCCTAAATCTTATCATCAAAGCTGGCACAGACCTAATGCAGAGGACCTTCTGATGTTTCCCTCATTTTAGGCCAAATCTTAATTCAGTATCTCTTCTGATAATCAATATTTGCCATGGTTTTAGCATATATTCTGTCTTGCTTCCCAGCATGCAAATTTTTTTGCATGAAAAATGCATGGCAGATAACTTGTTTTGCTTCCACTAAGTACAAAATATAATTCCACATGTTCCTTTCACCTGGACCAACAGCCATTTGAGAAGATTTTTACTTGGCCTTCCCCCCCCCCTCCATCTTACATGGCATTCTGCTTAAAGCAAAGTTTTTAAAACAACTGCACTGTCAGCTTTTACCCAGTCAGTATAAGTCTGTACTTTTCATGGATTGAAAATGAGCCAGGAGTGCAAGTAGCAGTTTGAAGGCTGCTTCTTGACTGACAGGTGGTGGCTGCCTTGGGGGTCTTCGGAGGCACATGTTTTTTTAAAAAATCAAATATTAAAAGGGCAATAGTTTCATAATATGGACCACCATAGTTTCATGCTACCTGTTTTGACTTGCCTTTCTGTTTGACACCTCAGATTCATTAAAGAGACCTTTATTCCAAAGGATGAAGGGTTTTTTTCTGTTAATCTGGCTAAATCATAACTATCCCCCAGAAGAAATTGCTTTGAAATTCATAAATGGAATTTGTATACTGTTGTCTGAATATGATCATAATCCTGTTTCACACCTTCCACCACCAACAGTATTTGGCTTAGTCACATTCCAGCATCATCTTTGTCAAGATATAGTGGATCAGAGCAGAATTCTGATTTTACAAAGGGCCCTCTAACAGAATAGCTACTTGGACTGCAGATGGAAATGGGAAAATGTTAGTGTGAAAGAAGAGGTTAAACAATCAGATTCGCGTGCTGAATTGGTGAAGGGTATCATTTCTGTAGTCTGAGAAACATAATCGAGTGCCATGGCAAGTAGAAATCTCCAGGGGCCCAGCTGAAGTCTGTAGGTAAAAGCAGGTGATCAGTATGATCTAGGACCTGCCCCAAGTCCTAGCATTTTGACACTTGCAGTATATTACTTGTCATTCCATCACAGCTGTTTCTTGTAGAAAAAGGCATTTCACTAGTTTTCAGCCAAACAGAACAAGAAAACCATGGAGTCTATGTTTAAGATAAATTGATCTTTCTTGTATGGGAAAAAGTCAAATGGCAGAGGAATATGCAAGGGAGACGTAGACATGAAATGATAAACAGTTGCAAAACTGTTTCCAATTTAGTGCTATAATCCCAAGGTAAAATATACCTAGAAAAGGCTGCATGCAAATAAGTGTTACCCTTGTTGATGTTAATGTTCTCCTTGTAAATTTTATTTTCTCCAGCATTTTGAACACGAGAAGCCCTCTGGGCATGGGAAGAAAAGAAGCCTGTCAAACAGTTATAATATTTTGATTCTGCAAGCCAACTCTGAATGTGATTGTCTTTACTTAGTAAGAATTCTACCACAGCAATTTTACATTTGTACAAAGCAAGGGGAAATAATAAAGATAATTAACAAGAAGTAGAATTCTGTTGCAGTCAGAGCTTAGAGATACGATCTTGGCACTTCCTTCTAGCTTACTCTCCAACAGGTAGTACCAATCTTTGGATGTAAGAAAATGGAAGCAAGAAGAGACTGCAAAATCTACTGGTGAGAAGCAGTGAGCACTGCTGAATCTCTAATGCAAAATACAACTTTTAAAATAACCAGAATTGCCCATGATGTCCAAATTTGGGGAACTAAGGTTTGTACATAGCTCCAAGTCTGAAGCAATGCTTAGATCCAAGTTTGTTAACACTAACTATAATGAAAACTAAGGATGGGCAGAAAGATAGATTAGAATCTACCAGCTGATCTCTAGCTGATAGGCAGATCTGCAAAGGATTCTGACTTTCAGTTGTTAATGACAAAAAACACCCATCTTCCAATTATTTATTTATTTATTTATTTATTTGAAAACTAAGGATGGGCAGAAAGATAGATTAGAATCTACCAGCTGATCTCTAGCTGATAGGCAGATCTGCAAAGGATTCTGACTTTCAGTTGTTAATGACAAAAAACACCCATCTTCCAATTATTTATTTATTTATTTATTTATTTATTTATTTATTTATTTATTTATTTAATTTATATGCCGCCCACTCTACCCAGAGGTCTCTGGGCGGCTTACAATAA